CCCCATCCTCACCCCTCATCCGCAGAAAGAAGACGCATGACAACGATGCAACATCCGCCTCAGTATCCAGCGTGGCGCGATCCCTTCGAAGAAATGACAGTCACGATCTACATTGTGGAGAGATGATTTCGGAACCAACAACGCACCCACATCTCTCAGTGGAGAGGATAGCTTCACGAGAGTGATCTCCACACCGCACTCACATGCGGAGATGATGTATACACGGTCTTCGCACCCTCATTGCGTGGAGAGATTGTCTCCACGCCTCATCGCGTGGACATGAGATCTTCGCGCCCCCATGTGTGGAGACACTTCACCCACGCAGAAGGCGTGGAGAGGTGGTCTCCACAGGCACACGCGTGGAGACGGGGTATCCACGCCCATACGTGGAGACCGTGCATCCACGCGTGTATCCACCCACCATGTGGAGATCAGCTCTCCACACCTTGTATGTGGATGTAGGGTCTCCACACCCCCTCTGTGGAGATGGGGTCTCCACACCCCCCTCTGTGGAGATGGGGTCTCCACACCCCCTCTGTGGAGATGGGGTCTCCACACCCCCTCTGTGGAGATGGGGTCTCCACACGTGACTCCATCACCTACATGTGGAGATCAGCTCTCCACACCCCCTCTGTGGAGATGGGGTCTCCACACCCCCTCTGTGGAGATGGGGTCTCCACACCCCCCTGGGAGATGGGGTCTCCACACCCCCCTCTGTGGAGATACTCCACACCCCCTCTGTGGAGATGGGGGTGGAGATGGGGTCTCCACACCCCCTCTGTGGAGATGGGGTCTCCACACCCCCTCTTGGAGATGGGGTCTCCACACCCCCTCTGTGGAGATGGGGTCTCCACACGTGACATCGCCTACATGTGGAGATCGGCTCTCCACGCCTCATGCGTGGATACAAGGTCTCCACGGACCGTCCGTGGAGAGGAGGTCTCCACAGATGCTACATACCCCCTGTGGTGACCAGCTCTCCACGCAGTATGTGTGGACGCAGATTCTCCACAGTCATATGTGGAGAGGAGGTCCCCACATAGGTTACACATCACCTGTGGAGATCAGCTATCCACGCCTCATGTGGAGAGTGGATCTCCAAGCCGTTTCCTGAGGAGATGGGGCACCCGCACTAGTCAGCGTGGAGAGCAGGTCTCCACGCACACTCCATGGAGATGTGATCGCCACGCGTCAGACGTGGAGGTGCGCTCTCCACGCCCGCACCCCTCGCGTGGAGAGGAGGTTCCCGCGCCCTCGCAGCTGGGGAGGTGACCTCCACGCTCAGCCACGTGGAGAGAAGATAACAACATCATCACCCCTGGAGAGATTGCATGCACATCCCGCGTGCGGAGATATTGCGTCCGCGCGGTCACCAGCACTGAGAGGACCATGGTCTAAAACACATATGGGGGGACAACCGTTTCAAACGTGCCTGGGGTGCCATCGTTTGAAACGTGCCTGGGCGGACCATACTTTCAAACAAGCATGTGGCGACCACCGTTTCAAACATGCACGGGGGGACCATCGCCTAGAGCAAGCCTGGGAGGACACTCGTTTCAATTTGGCATGGGAGGACCATCATTTGAAACATGCTTGTGAGTATCACCGCCTAGAGCAAGCCTTGGAGGGCCATCGTTTGAAACAGGCCTGGGAGGAATATCGTCTAAAGCAAGTCTGGTGGTGGCATCGTTTCAAACAGGCCTGGGACGACAATCGTTTAAAACCATTTCTGCGAGGACCATCGTCTACAACAAGCTTGGGATACCAATCGCTGGAAGCACGCCTGGGATGACCATCGCCTAAAACAAGCCTGGGAGGGCAATCGAATCAATCGCGCCTGCGAGGGCCATCGTTTGAAACATGCCGGGGGGGACAATGGTCTAACCCAAGCCTGTGGTGACCATCGTTTGAAGCTGGCCCGTGGGAACCATCGCCTAAAACAAGCTTGGGTGTCACCCCCTCCTTTGAAACAAGCCTGGGAGCCCCCCCCTCCTCCTTCCCTCCTCCTTCCCCCCCCTGCCACTCCTCGTCCTCCTCCCCCCCCTCCCCCGCGTGTTCCCCGAATGGCTTCCACAACGGATGGGGGAACGCATGGTCCACTAGCGTGGCCAAGCTTTGCCGAAACCTTTGGCCTCGCAGGCGTATCCTATAAGGCAGGGGGCGGCAGATCCAAGAAGTCGGCGAAGCCGCTGCGAATCCTGAGCCCACATCACGAATACCGCGCGCTGCTTTCGTCTGCACGGCTCTCGGAGCACAGGCTGCGAGCATCCAGCTGGCGCCGCGCTGGCGCTCCTGACGGCGCTCCTGCCTGGCCTGCGCTCAGGCAGCGGGCCAGCAAAAGGAGAAAGGTAAAGGGCGTGAGATTGATGTGCGCACGTGTTTCACACGATATGTAGTGCGGGCGATATGATGTGCAACTGCGCTGCTATGTTCGTGATTGATGATACGCACGCGCGCGCGTGCTCTCTCAAATTGTTTGCGATGGATGCGCGCAGCCATATAGTGCGATAGATGATTGTGCTGCACGCAATCATAATATGAGACTCGTCACATCACGACGCACATCTCGCGCGAAGGTTGCGCGCCACAGCTTGCGCTGCGTCAGAACGAAACGAACTTAGTGCACATGCTGCACAACACATGTTGTGAAAATGCTCCTGGCCGAGCGCAGTCGATCCGAATTGAGTCCCACCGAGTTGACGCGCACGCATCGCTGCAACTCGGGTGCCAAGTCAGCATGCAAAGGGGGCATTTCTTCGGGAGATGTTCGGGCCCCTCGGCCCTAGACCTGCTGCAGACAATGCACGTGTCACTAGAGTTGAAATCAGCATGGATACCCCCCGCGAGCGCACATTCCCACATCGACTTCAATGTCGGGATCTCGGGGGGAGCTGCCTCTCGCATGTCGCGGCGGAATTCCACCGCGACGCCGACAGCAGGGTGGATAATCTCAGCATGGGCGACTAAATGCACAGGAAATAATGAGGCGGGGGACCACTTAAATTTTCTCGCTTTGTCAAGAAATACGAGCTGCCCGATCTGAGCAGCAGCGTCACTCCACTTAATGAAAGCCACGGCGACATGCCCGGACTCGTCTTCTGCGAGTTTCACGAGTGACGGTTCATTTCTGGCCCCTGGCGCATCTTGGTGCATTGCCCTCTCCCTCGCTTCAAGGATCGCCTTCGCTGCCAGAGCCGACTCAGTCCACTGTGCTGCCGCTGCTGCTACTAGCGGGGACGGGACTTCTGCGGGCGCGCCACCGCCGTCACCGATGCCATCGGCGCCAGCAGCGGCGCCGCCGCCTTCGCCTCCCCCGAATAGTATCTGTTCGAGAACCGCATCACTCGCAACGACATCGCTGGGGGAACCAGCCAGCTCCGACTTGGCCGCGAACCGATCCTCGATTGCCTGCTCGGACCCACCGCCCTCGGCCAGCATTGCGGCGGCCCTCTCGGCCCGAGCGAACTCCTCCGCCCTCAGTCGATCGTCGAGCTCCCTGTCCTCCTGCGCCAGGAAGTCATCGATCGTGGGATCATGCAATCCTCTCTCCTCTTCTCTGAGTCGAATGGCCATCGTGCGCATCCTCTGCTCCTCGTCCTCCTCCTCCTCCTCCTCCGCCGCCTCCGCCCCCTCTGCGAGGGCAGCTGGCCGCGGCAGCCCGGGCGGCGCCGGCGCTGGCGCCGCTGCTGCTGCGTCAGGCAGCGGCGGCATCATCCTCGGCTTCTTGCGCTTCGGCTTGATGTCATCCTCCCCTCCATCACTTCTCGGGCTGGGCAGCGGCCGTGGCGAGCAAGAGAGAAGGGGGGGCAGGGGGGAGGGGGGAGGTCGGAGGGAGGAAGGGGAGGGGAGAACGAGGCGAAGGAGGAGAAGAGGAAGAGGGGCAGAGGGGGAGGAGGTCGAGGACTCTCTCCCTCCCCGTCTCATTGTTTCCGTGGGGCTCTCTCTCTCTCGCTCTCGCTTTCTCTCTCTCTCTCTCTCTCTCTCTCTTTCTCTCTCTCTCTCTTTCTCTCTTCATCTCTCTGTCTGTCTGTCTGTCTGACTGTCTGTTTGTCTGACTCTCTCTCTCTCTCTCTCTCTCCCCCCATCTCCGTCTTCTCTCGACAGGACTAGCGGCGGAGCAATGCAAGAGGCAATGAATTTGCCCAGGCGCCGTGCACATGGTTGCCAGGCTCATGCAACGCGCATCTTTCCAGACACTCGACACCCTGTCGTCTGGCTCTTGCAAGGCCGTGTCGCCCTCTAGCGTTCTATCTCTTTCCCTCTCGCTTTCTTTCTCTTTCTCTCTCTCTCTCTCTCTCTCTCTCTCTCTCTCTCTTTCTATCCCTCTCCCTCTCTCTCTCTCTCGCTCTCTGTCTCTATCTCTCTCTGTCTCCCTCTGTCTCTCGCTCTCTCCCCTTCTCTCCTCTCCCTTGCCTCCCTCGCTCCCTCACCCCCTCGCCCCAGCGCCCTCTGTCGTGCAGAACGAGCCCCCCCCGCCCCGCCGACTGGCATATAGTTTCAGAGTCCCACTGCAGCAGCGACGGTTCCACGGCGACCCCAAACCGAAGAGGAACCTTCCGATGCGTGAACAACACTTCGCCACGCCAGTCGTCCCCAATCTGTTTGCGGACGCCCCTCAGGATATCTGTTGACATGCACACTTTCGCACCTATGGGGATGCTGAGTTCGACGTCTTTGTCGTCATCGCCTCCGACACAATCAGCCAGCACCATGATGCCTATATTGCCAGCGAGCCTAGCAAGCACCCACACCTCATCGAACGTAGTGAAATTGATACACACACAGCTGGCCCATGACCGCGGGGCGACTGGGTAACGCCTCCTCAAAAACTCAACGAACTTGTAATTCACGCTGGCAGATTCTGCATCCATCAGGGATACATGCACGGGCTCAGCAAGGAGGGACGCATGCATCATGAGTGCTCGTTCTGTGTTGGCTGAGCTCCACCTCTCTAGCTGACCCAGGATACTGTCGGCGCCCATCGAATGGCTGACGGCGACCTGCTTCACTGCGGCAACGTCGGATGCGATCAAACTCCACTTGGAATGCCTAGCTGCCGAAGTACCGAGACCGCACGCTTTGGACAGGTTCACGCGGCAACTCAGAAGGGGCAATTGAATTCTCGGAGCTTTCTTGACCACAAGTTTGATCTGGGAATTGACCGATTCTAATTCTTCTGAATCACACTGAAACATTCTCGTGAGCATCCTGAGAAAGCCCCAGAAATGCACATCGCACAAGCCCGTCTCAGCACACTGACATATGTTGTCATTGAATATCTCCCTCACCTGGGGCCCGAGAACAAAGCTTCCCCGCCCTCACCCCCCTCCTCCTCCTTCTCCTCCTCCTCCACACCTCCAGGCCCAAAACCAGGCGTCAATATTTTGGAAAATATTGACGCCCCTTTTTTGGCATAGATCCTCCTCCTCCTCCTCCTCCTCCTCCTCCTCCTCCTCCCCCTCCTCCTACTCCCCCTCAACTCCTCTGCTCCCTCCTCCTTCTGCTCCTCCTTCCCGCCCCCCGCCTGCGTTGCCCGAGCGATGATGGTCCGCTGACTGACCCCCTCTCGGCTGCCGTTCGGCCCCTCAGACTCCCCCATCCCTCTTCCTACCCCCGACAACTTAGTCCTGGGCAGATTTCTCCTCCTGCTCCTCATCTTCCCTCATCCTCTCTCGTCTTCCCTCCTCCACCCGCCGTTCTACCCTGGCCGACCTTCCTGGCCCCGCCGCCCTGTGCATCGAGGTCGCCGTCGCCGGCGTCGAGCAGCTCGCGGGCGACCTCCTCGCGATGCCGACAGCGGACGCTGGGGCCCTGGCAGGGGCGGCGGGAGAGCGGGGAGGGGAGCCAGCGCGCGCGCAAGCACGCGCAGACAGAGCACCGAATGAATGTGAGAATGCCCTGACGTTCCTCGCGAGCCAGCCAGAACAATTTCCAGGACCAATCGTTCACTCGATCTGTCACGCGCCGCCGAAAGTCGGCAGCTGTCGGAAGGGCCATGTGGATCACCATCTGATGTAGTGTAGCCAGTAGCCCCAACGGCACGCTATCTGATATCACATCTTTCCAAGCTTCGAGGTCGAGGAGCGCATCGAGCTTGGATTGGATGGCGTGCGCCTGCCCCCAGACAAGGTGAGCCATCGCACCTGCACCAGTTGTGCGGACATATTCGTTATGTTTTTGCAGCACTGCCCTAAAGTGCCGCAGCGGCTCCCCGCACCTGTGGCGCACTTCCATAACCAGCCAAAAAACTTCCGAATTGAGCGCTTCCAGCGAAGACGAGCACCATATGCTCATCTTGACCTTATATGCTTGCTTCGACTCGTGGCCGACTTCGTCTATCACGTACTCAAGAGCACCAGCGAGCTTGTCTGGGTGATCAGAGGCTTTCGCAGCAGCGTCACGCTTGGACTTCTGGAAAGCGTCTGTGAGGACTTTCACTAGATGCTCCCGTGGAGCCTTCAATAGCTGGCCCTGGGGCCAGGCGGCCAGGGGAGGGGGGGTGCGAGAGGGGGCGGCTAAGTAGGCTAAGAAGGAGGAGGAGGGAGGTAAGTAGGCTAAGTAGGCTAAGTAGGCTAAGAAGGATACCCTGAGCTCCTCGCACGCAGACACACTTCCCCAGCGCGAAGCATTGCAAGCTATGGGCATCTTGAACGCATGCGACACAGCTTCCTCTGTGCCCTGGGTACTGGCAATAGCTTTGTCGTCGTATTTCAGCTTCCAGATCTGAAAAACAGAAACGGCGAATTCCCTCCAGCAGTTCATGATCTTAGCTACAGAACTGTAATATCTGATGCCAGCCAAATCCGAAAGCATCTCGTCTGCACGCTTCAGCATCTCGCCTAGGAGGGTTAAGGGATGAGATGGGGCCAGGGCGAGGAAAGTCTGGTCGGGGTCACCCCCCTGGCGCAGGGCGCTCTCAACGATAGATTCCCGAGCTGATTCCCTTTCTCTCTCTCTCTCTCTCTAGTTGCTCTCTCTCTCTCTCTCTCTCTCTCTCTCTCTCTCTCTCTCTCTCTCTCTCTCTCTCTCTCTCTCTCTCCCTCTCTCTCTATATATATGTATATATATATATATGCATGTATGTATGTGTATGCGGATGTGCGTGTATATGTGTGTGAGTATCAGTAATCAGTATATATCTAGTTCATGATGTAATTGCACATGTGTCCCTGTGTCCCTCTCCCCACTCCCCCTCGCCCTCTCACCGCTCCATAGGGGGGGGGGGGGGGGGGGGGGGGGGGGCATGAGTCCCATGAGATCTCTGGAATCGCCTTCAATCAAATGCGACTGATGGCGCATGCAGTCGCAGTCCAGCCACACGAGCTCAGGGATCTGATTTATCTGGGAGGCGATGACTCCGCGAGCTTTGGCCACGTCCCCCCCCCGCATCCGTGCGCGAACAATATACAATGCAACGCGGGCGCCCAGGGGATGGCTTGTGCTCTGACCACATTGGCATGCCAATGCTTTCGAGTTGTTTGCAGATGAGAGATAAGCAACCCAGCCCAGAGGAATCGTGAACGACCTGCAGATCAGCCATCCTCTTGTGGATGTCGACGCCGTCGATCCACTCCGCGCCGACCTTTCAGGTCCGGCGGCCCCTCTCCCTGCGCCCACTCGGCCGCTCGCCCCATGCCTCCTCGCCCCCAGGAGGAGGGCGAGGAGGAGAAGGGGAGGGGGGAAGGGGGCTGGGTAAACGCGGGGAGAGGAGGAGAGGAGGAAGAGGAGGGGAAAGGACGAGAAGAGGTGAGGAGGAAGCAGAGGAGGAATGGGGGCTGGATGGATACCCATCGGTTTGGGGCACCCCCGGGCGGCGTCGAGGTCACAATCTGCTGAGCTCATGTAGGCGGACGCTGCGAAGAGGGCCTGGAGCTTGCATCGCTGCCACACTGCGCTGTTGGTGGCGTCCAAACGGAAGAAGTGGATGGCGCAATCTCTCGCGCCACCCCCCTTGGCTCCGATTGCGGCAACAGTTCCGTCGGCCTCGGTCCCCTCGATTGGCTGAATAACATGTTTGCAGTCGGCACCCTTCGAACCGAACGTGATTTCATGTTCGAGGTAGAAGAGCTTAGACGCTAGTAACAAAGACGCCTCTGTGCGCAGCTCCCAACGGTTCACTGTAGCGCGATGAAGGTCCATCTCGAGCACCCTCCCGAGCTTGCAAGATGCCACGCAGCCCGCAGTAACTTTCAGTGCCAAGCTAACCCCCCCAATGTGAGTGAGAAAGCCACGCTCCCCCTTGCGATAACTTCTGTTGCTCATATAACTGATCAGCTCCCGCCTCGCCGATTCGCATCTCTCTTCCCACCGAGCAGCTTTCCTCTTCAGCGTCCTATTCTCGTTCTCAAGCTCCTCAATCCGAATCTGTCTGATCCTCGCCTCGGGAAGACGATATCTCAACTGGCAAATGGGGGGTGCAGGGATAGGCTCGATCCCTGCTCTGCCCTTCTCTCTTTTTTTTTTTTTTTTTTTTTTTTTTTTTTTTTTTTTTTTCTCTCTCTCTCTCTCTCTCTCTCTCTCTCTCTCTCTCTCTCTCTCTCTCTCTCTCTCTCTCTCTCTCTCTCTCTCTCTCTCTCTCTCTCTCTCTCTCTCTCTCTCTCTCCCTCTCTATCTGCATATATCGGATAGACAGAGAGGGAGAGAGAGACAGAGAGAGAGGGAGAGACGGGAGGAGGGAACGAGGGAGGCACGGAAAGAAAGAGAGAGAGATAGAGAGAGAGAGAGAGAGAGAGAGAGAGAGAGAGAGAGAGAGAGAGAGAGAGAGAGAGAGAGAGAGAGAGAGAGAGAGAGAGAGAGTGCAGGGATCGACGCAACCCGACGTGACAACCCCATAACCTGGTCTTGCAGGGACTGCAGCTGCTGCAACTCTTCCACCGGCGTCGCTGCTGCTGCCGCTGCTGCCACAGCTGACCCGTCCCCTCCAGGCATCCGCGCCAGCAAGCGGCGCCGCGCCGCCTCCGCCGCCTCCGCCGCCAGCTCGTCGAGCGGCTGTCCTAGCAGCCGCTCTGGGTCGGAGGAAGGAGGACGGCGATGGGGATGCGATGAGGAAAGAGCGGGGCGGGCGCAGCCACCCCGCGCGTCCTGCGACGGCACGCCACTCGCGCAGGTCGATGCCGATCTGCTCCAGCAGCGGCCCGACGACTGAGGGCTGGCAGCCGCCCGCCTGCGGGCGGCCAGGGGAAGGGGGCGAGAGCAACGCTGGGCACGAGCGACCCTGGGGAGATGAGATGAGGAAGTCAGCGCAGAGGGTGCCCCACTGGCCCGACGGAAGGGCGGAAGAGAATGAAGACCAGGGAGGGCGCAGTGGGCGAGGGGTGGCGAGGGCCATCGCAACCATGAGTAGGGGCAGCGATGAAGCGATGAGGGGAGGGCAGGGGGGTGGGGGCGAAGATGACGAGGACGCCGCGGCCGCGACCAGCTGGCCCGCGTCTGCCGTCTCATCCCACCCCCCTCTCCACGGCCCTGCAGCTGCGGAGCGCCCGACAGAAATGGCGCCCTCGCACTCCGCGCGCTCCCCCTCCTTCCTCGCTGCGTTGCTTGCTCCACCCCCCCCTGGGCCCCTCGCCTCGGCGTCCCAGTGGCTCGCCCACTGCGCCAGCCACCGCTTCAAGTTGTGGCCGACCTGGGCAACGGCGGGGGGCAAGGGGCGGAGCGCGCGGCAAAGCGAACTGGGAAGGGCAGGGGCAGGTCGCACTCATCATGCCGTTCCCCTCCTACCTCCCTCCCCCCCTCCTTCGGCGGCCCGGGTGGCCACGTCGGCGCCGACGACATCGTTCCAGGCGCGCCCGAAGCCCTCCAGGTTGCATGCGGAGAAGTACGGTGTGCCTCCTGGGGTCGCCTGAAGGTGTTTTTTCAGGAGGAGCTCTAATTTCGCCCTTGTGGCGGTCATGCTCGGCTTGATTCTGAAACGGCTGAGGGGCCCATGGAGCTGGCGACGCTCGCAGCCAGATCAAACGTGTTCGGTGTTAGATATGTGGGCGCTGTTATCCTTCAACATGCTGGTTTGCTGTGATGGTCGACCGTGCTGGTAAGCCTAACTATGTGCACTCATGGGCGTACGACGGAATCCACGGGCCTGGGCTCTCTTGGGTCGCGGGCTTTTTGGGGCCCTCTCAGGTGCCCAGGGGGCCTGTTGGGATTTTTTAAGGGGGCCTCCTGGTCGCGACGCACCGCCGACGTGACGCAATGCATATGCAAACCAATGCAATCCGACGGAGACAAATTCACCTCTATCCGATGCCCATCCGTATAAAACATCACCACCACCGACACTCACGATAACATGATTGCACGAAACAGCTAGCACACATGTGTATATACTATCACAACACATGCCGTTGTATTCAGGAAACCCGAAAACCGCAACACGATACATACATAGATCTGGAGACCCACGAGAACCGAAGCAGACACATCACAAAGCCGAACACCAAATATGCATACATATGTAGATTGCTGATATGTATGTATATTTGGTGTTCGACGTTGTCATATCTACAAAATGTAGAGATCCACGATCGTTGAAATCTTACTATGCGTGCCGCTGGGAACCATAATATTGCTAATACACGTGGAAACCGACCCCAGGATATTTATACTCGTGCGAAACATCTGCCACGCGTATACAAGAAACCAGGAAAAAAAACAAGCAAACCATACACTTCTGGAAAAAAATAACACATATATCTAGGATTCTGACAAAACGAATCTGCCGCTGATGAAGGTCAGATGAAGGGAAGCAGGGCGTGGAGAGGAGGCGTCTTGAGTCACCGCAGACGCCCACATTCACATCCCTATTCCATGGCCATCCTGCCCAGGTTGGGGCGCGAGTCCCTCGGCCAAGGGTTTCTCTGGCGCGACCGCGGACGGCGGTGCATCGCTGGTCCTTGCGAGCAAGCCGCGCGCGGGCAAGATACCGCCCATGGCGCTCGCGATCAACCGCGGGGTCCTGCCTGGCCGCTTCGAAGATCTGCCGGGCAGCGCGGCGTCGCGAGAGAGCGCGTTCCGCTGGGTTGCTCTGGGCGAGCTTCCCGAAAGACTCGGTTCGGTGGACGTCCTTAACATAGCCATGAAGCGCAAGCCATTGAGCACCAGGGGAAGTCCGGGCGAAGAATATGGAATGCCAAGGGCGGACCTGGACTCTGAACTGGTCGGATTGTCGAGCCTCGGACCAGCGGTACCCGTTGAACACTCCGAGGGAGAACGCATCTTGAGCCCAAATGGCCACGGAGAGAAAACGGACGAGGAGGAGCAGGGGGAGAGGATGAGGACGACGAAGACCTCCCTGGAGGCCGCAGCGACCCCAACGGCACATCCCCCCATCCGCCCCTTGCACCTCGACGCCACGTCCTCTGCTTTCTCGCCCCCCTCTCTCCTCCTCCTCCTCCTCCTCCTCCTCCTCCTCCTCCTCCTCCTCCTCCTCCTCCTCCTCCTCCTCCTCCTCCTCGTCCTCTTTCCCCCTCGCTTTCCTC